CTCTGAAATTATTGGCTTTGTGACCCAATGCATTGCACTCTTCTGTCACAGATTACTTACATTCAGATGCGAAAGAGCTGCGAATCCGTGGTTCAAGATTAATTTGATAGGCATAGGCTGGCCGCACCTATGCCACATCAATGTATTTTGAACTTATTTATTATATAAATGCGGAAGCTCAATAATATAATATTATTTCTTTAATTGGTTCACAAACAGCAAAAAAATATTTTTTTCTACCCGCAAAAATATGTAAAAACAGGCTGGAACATGCTCACGCACTCGGCCACGTTAATTGTCCTGACGCGGGCGATCTTTATCTATGCGCCGGGGAGCTGGCGGCCAAGCTACGTCACAGAATATCGTCGACGACAAGTATACGTACTTTCGCATCTGTATTAGGTGATCTGTGCTTCTGTTTTGAACAATCGGACTGGTAATGCCCCCTTATCTTGCAATTAAAGCACTGTACATTCTTAATATCGCCTTTCTAATTTCGGTGCGTTGCTCCATTCTGTTGGTGGATATTTTTCTTTGAGTTGCACTCGTTTCAGATTTGTCCAATTTGTCGTCACGTAACGTCGACAAATATTCCTGATACAGAGCTTCTGGCGTGACGTAACGTCCTCCTCTTGCACCATTTTGGACACCAACATCGGTAAAGCCATCAATGATGCAGGAAACTGCATTTCTCCCAATTATTTGGCACGTCCTTAGTAATTCGTTCTTGCTGAAGAAATAGTTGGTCATGGTTTCTCCTCTCTCTTTTGTCCTCCCCATCATTTTCCTTAACGCCATGGAGTAATCAACATGATCGAGAAAAGTTTGAGAAATCAATGTTTTCCATTCTATTCAGGAACTGGGATATTGTTGTAATCCATTAAACCAATCTCGGTCCATACCACTGAATCGAGATTGCACCTGGTAGATTGTCGTAACATCATCCCAATTAATATTTTCTAATTTGGCCAATCTTGTCTAACCAAGCTACGGCCGATAAGTTTTCATTCTCAGGATCAAATTCTGGAATGCACTTACTTTGGACAGATAAACGCCTAAATTCCGTTTGTGGTCCCTGCCTAACAAAAAGCTCTAATAATTTTTCAATGCGTTCAACACGCTCATCAACGGAAGTCGCAGTTACAGCAGAAGGCGATTCTGTGGAAATACTGGCTCTGTTGATCTCAACTTCCTTGTTGTTAGAGGGGGAGTAGTGCCACGATCACCAAGAGTGCCTACATTCGGACTTTGAGGCACACATAACTGTTTTTCCTTTCTGGATGGAAGGTTCACCTAACACAAACGAATCCCTGCCTCACCCACCATTAGTTCACCCTGCACCTGAATTCATCATATTAGTTAGGTTAGACTCGCAGATTGGCGCGGGTTCCTAGTTCAAAAATTAATACATTGATGTCTTATGGGGACTCAATTTTAAAAGCGTCTGTAGACGTGATAGAACGTTTGTAACGGAATTGAGTTGTATAAATAGTTTTTTTAATATGTTAATTAACTGAGAGAGTGTTTGAAAGTTGAATAAACATTGTTAAAATAAAAATATTACCAATTTAAGAAGCCGATGTTTGTATAAAATACGTATATCGTTGCTTGATCCATAAGTATATATGAGTACCTAAATTATAATAAAATAAAAGTTTACCTACATACTTGGTTAGTAAATGTACTTCAATAATCCAAAAAAATTGAAAAATAAATGACTGAACTAGTGATAAATAAAAAAATAAACAATTCACCAACAATCATAACACAACACACAACCTCACTTTCTCTCAGCTGGTTTTAGACCCGACGTACGTCCACCGAAAACAGACAATTTTAATTAAAATCATTTGTATTTGTAATTCATAGGTCTAAAAAAACAATTAGAGCATGAATTATAGAGAAATATGTTCAAAGTTTGACGTACAATAGGTTCCAAGACTAAGAAATGCCCAGAACCCAAGATATTTCCGTCTGAAAATCACTTTTTTGAATCCCCCATAAGAAATACATTGCTGTCAAATTTGTTGAAATGTGTTTAGGAACCCATTTTAAATTTCGCGCCCGATTTTTCCTAATCTAACTAATATGGTGAATTGAAAATTAAAGATAGTTTATTCAAGACAAGAAATATAGTTTATTTAACAAAATTATTATTATAGTAAAATACTCGTGAGCGTGTTTTTTTCGTATTGACCAACTGCTTAGCGTAACGCAATTACCTGTGTCCAGTAAGAAAGGGTCCGCTGTCCCTTGTTCTTTAAAACATCCCTGCCTGTAAAACGTGCTGGCGCATAAATTATACAGTATCTGGGAACCCGAGCTGCATCTTTATATTGGTAGTTGCAGTTCGGTTACATTATTGTATTTTGATTTCATTTCTCAGGAATGGCCCCAGTCATCACCAAAAAGTAATCCTAAGTAATTGTTGCTCCCATTCTAATTATTCTGGCATGATCCACTACTTTCTTTTTTGTGTTTTGTAGTATAACATACCCCGTGTTCGTTCAGTAAGATTGAACGGTGTAAATTTTTATTACCTATTGAACAATAACTCTTCTGAAAAACGAAATGAAAAACAAATAGGACCTACGTTGTGGAAACTTACTCAATTTTACTTACTGGAAATGCGCCCGACATAGCAAATATTTGGGAAATTTAAGGGAAGTTGTGATATGTAAAAGAAACGAAAAATTTGTGAAACGTCTACTTTATTATTAAAGTAAATCGTACCGTTCTCATCCTGGAGCTACCGAGGGGACAGAGCACGACAGAGAAACCCTCGATCTAACATTCCTCAAAAATCGAAACATACTGTGTAATTTTAATAATAACTGTAAATCAATAATCGATACTTTAAGTCAATAAAAGTTTAAATTAGGTACCATCCTTTGTCTTTGTGCTAAAATTTTAATTCCAAACACAACATTCAATCAACACTACCTATATTCAATACTGAAGAGTTTTTTTGTTAGTTTGCCAGTTTCCCAGCAGGTACTGAGGTGCCATACGGGAATCTACTCAGCTATAGTTGTTTTTGAGCCAATATCTCTAGATTGATTATTTCAATTTGCTAGGATATTCTCTCGTCAGGGTAGGAAAATGTTAGTAAATTCAACAAGACCCTAATGCACGCTCTAAATCCAAAAATCGAAATCCTAGCACAAAAGACAGCACCTAATTTCTTCTAGGTTTTAATTTACACTTTATTTGTGCTGTTTACAGCATGAAACGATTTCTGTTAAATACATGAACAATGCACATGTTATAAAAAAAAAGGTATAAACAACCAAAAAACATAAAAATAGGAGAAAAAATAATACTTGTATAAATTGAACTCTCAAAAACAAAATAACAGTTATTCAACTGACCTGTGATCGCTCCTTGACACACACACATTAATCACAAATTCGATTGAACAATCAGGTTAATACAAAATAACAATTGAAAAATGGACAATAGCGGACAAACGGTCTAAGGGATCAGCCCAGAGTCCTGCTTCTTCTCTAGTCTCGTCGCTTCTTTCTTCTACCTACCCTTCGTACGCTTTTTCTGTGGTGCCTCTAGGTTCGCCCCTACTTGACGGCGCATTACATAGTGCAACATTTACTTTTACTCAGTAAACGTTTTTTAAAAAGTTAAGATTCAAAGAAATACTATTTCAAATTGGTGGTTTTCCTCAGTTTCTTTTCTTTCACTATTAGCTTATTCATATTCAGCATAGGGTCATTATTTTTACAGGAGTCGACTACCTAATTCAAGTGCTGAAGGCACTCAATATTATCAGTTTATACAGCGCCATCCGCATTTAGCAACATATCTATTATAATTCTATTCACTGTAGTACCCTCTGAAACGTATTGTATCACTCGGAATATATTCTTAACATAAACATTGAGAAACAACGGTGACATTTTTTCACCTAGGTTTCATGTATTTTTTCATATATAATACCACAAGAGAAAAAATTTTGTTGGCAAAATTTTCGACTGGTATGAAAGTTTGTTACTTGACAATAACGCGAATAACAAATTTCATGAGCGAAATTACCAAAAAGCAACAAACTTGAATAAAACCAGGAGAATAATTTTGCCTACATAATTTTTTCTTGAGTGGTATTCTACTCGACTATTTCACGAGAAAAGCAAGCCAAATTTTCATTTGTCCAAATCCAGGTTACTCTTCTTTACCTTTACCTGCTCTAAGAGTTTTTTACTTTAACCACACAAAATTTTGTCACTGGAAAATCATCATCAACAGGTAGAGGTTTTGTCAGTAGGAAACCGGCCGTTCCTATCTCTATGGTTCCTATGACATTTTGCCAGTGTAAAACACTCTAGTGAAATAGTCAATAGTAATATAACGAGTGCAATGGAAATTATTGATAATTTTTGGGAAATTTGCCCGAATGCATTTTTAGTTGAAAAAGAGCACGAGTTCACGTAGTGCACGAGTGCCTTTTTCAGTTAAAAACGCATGAGTGCAAATTTGTCGAAAATTATAAATATATTTCCATTGTAAGAGTTGTATTTATTGAGAGAATTTCATAAATCAAAAATTTAAATTTTTTGTCGAAAAATGTCAAAACACCAGTTTTCGCACCAGCTACTATGCAATTATCTGATAATTGGCACTAGTGCAAATTATCGCGTAATTCCAATCTGATTGGTTCAAATCAACAATCAAAACATGTCAGTTTATTGTTGGAATACCAGTTTTGACAGATGTATGAAATTCTCGAATGTAATACCACAAGAGGTTTCAGGATTACCGAATAATACTTTTACCTGTCACGAAACGCGTTACGTCAGGCCCTGCTGCTGATAGCCTTATTCACGGGCAAATAGGGTTTTCCAAGTGAAACAACAGACCATAATTCAACCCTGATAATCAGCATTGATATTTTTTTCTCAATGAGGACAAGCTCTAAGATTTGCACTATTTAGCGATGAACGTTGTGATATTAAAATAAATTGTGGAAATGTAATAAAGTCTTCTCATAAAGTATAAATAATCATTTTATTTTACAAAATAAAAATCAACAGTTAACTTAACCTAAACACATCATTAGCTATAGCAGTGACGATTAGGGATAAGTTCCTATCCTCAATTTGCTGATTAAACAAATTGACAATACTTTGAAAATATTCTGTTGTTAAAATTGTCCTGAAACCAGGTTTTGTCCCAAACCAACATGTTGTCCCCAAACCAGCTGTTGCGCTTGTTGCACAAGTCCTTGTTGGAGTTTCTGGATTGCCAATTGGCTGCCAACTTGAAGAACTACTAATTTTCCTTCCTGTTGAATCAATTGTTGTAGAACCTGTTGCAATTGCTGGAGTTGCGGCAACTGCCCTTGTTGTTGAGCAACGTACAATTGAATTCTAACGTTTTGGATTTGTTGGTTAACGAATTGTTCTTGTTGTTGGAGCTGCTGGACGAGGTTTTGTTGCAATACGATTTCTCTTTGAATTCCTTGTACGATGTTTTGAGCAACCAATTTCTGGATTTGCATTTGCAGAACATTTGGTTGTTGACCTAGATGGACTTGAACATCGTTCAGCTGCAATTGTTGGGAAATCAATTGAGCCTCGATAACTGCTTGAAGGGTTTTTTTTAACTGAACATGTTCCAAAACTTCGACTTGTTGGATCTTTTGCAAAATTTGTTGCAATTGGTGAATGGCTTCGATGACACCTTGGCTTTGACCTTGTTGGATGATAGATTGTGATTGTGGAACTACTACGTTTTGTTGTTGAACAATGCTTTGGAGTACGTTGATGTCTTGGATTATTTGGTTTTCTTGAGCCCTTAGGACATTTTGGATGATTTTTTCTGCGGTTTCTTCAGCGATAATGTTTCTGATACCTTGTTTTCCCATGTTTTGAAATTGAGCTTGTTGCAAGACTTGTCCAATTTCTACAGAGAGCTGCTGTCCCAACTGCAATTCTGATGACCAAAGTCCTTCGATGTTTTGTTGATTGTTTCCTTTCAATAGCAACTGCGAGAGAATGTTTTGTTGTTGTTGGTTGTTCTGGAGGGCTTCAATTGGTTGTACGATGGAGCCAAGTCCCATAGATTGTTGCTGGAATCGGACTATCGGCGACCATTGCTGGTTTTGTCCATATGGAACAGCACTGGCAAAAGCCAAAAGGGCACAAGCGACTAAGTACTTCATATTTGTTGTTTAGGTCAAGATCGCAGGAACTACAATGATTTTAGGCTAGTTCTTCGCACTTTTATATAAAAGCTTATCAAGAAAAATTCAGATTACATAGGTATTGTAATATTTGCAAGAAATTGCATGAGAAAAAAAAATATGGTCCCAAATGCGGATTTTGATTATTTTTAATTGAATTGATAATACATTTAAAAACAAAATTATCAAAATCATGTATTTTTATGTGCAATAAATGGTGTGAAATTTTGATACCGCACAATTAATTTTTGAACCGGCGTTAAATTGTTAAACTGATCAAAATAAATTTCAATTGAAAAATTTCCAAATTAAAATTTCTATAAATTTTCTGGTGAATAGACAAAATCATAAAGTTTTAGTAAAATTTTACATTCACTTTATTTATTATCTTGATGGACCCTGAAAATAACGATTTTTCTGAATCGAATTTTATTTTTTCTAGAAAATGTCATTTAACTATAAACCGGTGTCAAGTGAAAAACGCCAATCCCCATGCAAAATTCCATTGACTCAATCCCCGTCGAAATATAAAAACTACCCTTAACAAATAAAAACTCATAAATCTTCAGATTTTCGTATTTTTTCCCAACTCGGACTTCGAGTCTTGCCATGAAATTAATTGAGTACTATTTTGACACCATTTCCAACTCCCATGCAAAATCCCATTGACTCAAACTCCCTCGAAATATGATAAACTACTCTTAACAAGTAAAAAATCATAAATATTCACATTTTCGTATTTCTTTCCAACTCAGACTTCGAGTCTTGCCATAAAATTGATAGGGTACTATTCTAACGCTATTTCCAACCCCCATACAAAATCACATTGACTCAAACCCCGTCGGAATATGAAAAACTACCCATAACAAGTAAAAATGCATAAATATTCAGATTTTCGTATTTTTGTCCAACTCGGACTTCGTTTCTTGCCATGAAATTAATAGCCATTCCCAACATCTAGGCAAAATCCCATTGACTCAAACCCCGTCTGAATATGGAAAACTATCCTTAACAAGTAAAAATGCATACATATTCAGCTGTTCCTATGTTTTTACAACTCGGACTTCGAGTATTGCCATGAAATTGATAGAGTACTATTCTAACACCCCTTCCAATCCCCATGCAAAATCCCATTGCATCAAACACCGTCGAAATACGAAAAACTACCCACAATAAATGAAAACGCCTAAATATTGAAACTTTCGTATTTTTTTCCAACTCGGGCTTCGAGTCTTGCCATGGAATTAATAGGGTACTATTTTAACACCATTTTCAACTCTTATGCAAAATCCCATTGACTCAAACCTCATCGAAATATGAAAAACTACCCTTAATAAGTAATAATTCATAAATATCCCGATTTTCGTATGTTCTTCCAACTCGGACGTCGAGTCTTGCCATGAAATTAATATGGTACTATTCTAACACCCCTTCCAATCCCCATGCAAAATCCCATTGAATCAAACCCCTTCGAAATATGTAAAACTACCCTTAACAAGTAAACATTCATAAATATTCAGATTTCCGTATTTTTAATTCCCAACTCGGACTTCGAGTCTTGTCATGAAAATAATACGGTACTATATTAACACCATTTTCAACCCCCATTTAATTTCATGGCAGGACTCGAAGTCCGAGTTGGAGAAAAAATACGAAACAAAAACTCAATATTTAGGCATTTTTATTTGTTAAGGGTAGTTTTTCATACTTCGACGGGGTTAGTCTCAATGGGATTTTGCATGGGGATTGGAATTGGTGTTAGAATAGTACCTACCCTATTAATTTCATGACAAGACTCTGAGTCCGGGATGGAAAAAAATATGAAAGTCTGAATATTTATGCATTTTTACTTGTTGAGGGTAGTTTTTTGTACTTCGACGGGGTTTGAGTCAATGGGATTTTGCATGGGGGTTGGAAATGGTGGTAGAATAGTACCTTTTTAATTTAATGACAAGACTCGAAGTCCGAGTTCGAAAAAAAAATTAAAGTCTGAATATTTATGCATTCTTACATATTAAGGGTAGTTTTTCATATTTTGACGGGGTTTGAGTCAATGAGATTTTGCATGGGGGTTGGAAATGGTGTTAGAATAGTACCCTATTAATTTTATGGCAAGGCTCGAAGTCCGAGTTGGAAAAAAAATACGAAAATCTGAGTATTTATCCCTCGATTTATCCATTTTTACTTGTTAAAACCCATTTATGGCCGGGGATGCATATACGCAACACTGCACTAATAATTTTTTTATGAAAAATTGAAGGCTTTTTGGCGTGTAATATGTGCTGATACCGTTGACCGAATGTTGAACAAAATGGATAGGATTATATTTGAAGAAACTTTTTCATTTATATTTTATCTGGGAAATGTTGTACAACATTTCCCAGAAAAAATATCGATCTATCGATTTTTCTTTAAATTACCTACTACGAAATTTCAAAGAATCAAAAACTCATATTCACGTTTTTATTCCGAAAGTTTTATTACTTTTATTCCACCAACTACATTTCCAGTAACACCATAAAATTGAACATCGAGGTCTAGTTGGAACAGTTTTTTCCTAAATAGGTCATAAACTATGATGTTGCGTTCTCGCATCATTGGCCGAATATGTGAAATCCCGTATCGCAAACCTGTCAGGAGAAGTTTTCCCAATAGGGCTCGGATTCCGAAGCCACAATTCGATAGTATCGTTTATATAAATAAAGATGGACGATACTATCAAATCCGAGCCCAAAATTGGGCAATTTGACGTCCTCTCAATTCAATATGGCGCCGTGGGAATAACACACCTGACAACTGTGAAGGCACGTTTACATTCAATTCCCATTCAAATTGCAATCAACTGGAATGGCATATAATATTGACAGTTGAGTTGAAGAGGGCGCTTCTGTACTTGGAGCTATTTAAATTTTGGCGCGTAAATAATTGATTGTAATTTTAACCTCAAAAGTTAAATCTGATGTGTGATTTCAAGACAAGCTGACGCTGACACTTTTAAAAATATTCTCTAAGGGCCACTGAATGCTTTGGAAGATATTTTAACTCATTCATTGTCCATTGTTCATATTGCAGTCATCTTTCCTTCTACGCAATTTGAACGGTTTAAAATCTTTGACATTTCCCGCCAAAATTTGAAGCACTCCAAGTTCACTCGCGCCCTCTATAAAATTTTGGAGAACTTAACTGGATATTTGCTGCCATTGAATGTAGAGGCACGTTCACTGTCATCAAGTTCGTTCGCGAAAATAGAACAAGTAATAATTGTCCAAGGGCAAATTTTGGTTTCAAGTAAAGTGATCTCAAAACATACGTATGATTCACAATTTGACGAATTTACCCTTTCATTGGTAAAGTGGAATGATAATTACATTGTCACGGCAATCAGTACCCAATATCAAGTAGAACCTCTCACATCTGCCAAAAGATACGATAGAAAGCAATCACAAACCAGTTTCAGTGAATTTCATTGGTTGAAACTAGCATCAGAACCGCACCCATTGAATTAAGCGTTGATCACTCTGGACATGTTATCAGTAGAACTGACGTCCGAAGAAGATGTCGTGTGTGCGGAAGTCAAACAATTTATATTTGTGAGCGATACAGTTTATTTGCACGCTGACTGTTTTTGGCAATATTATCTAACACTATAGGCTGTTGATGCATTTACGCAACACCACTTATTTCATGATGTAGCTGATTTTTTAATTTTTTGACGTCACATATTATGTGTTACTATAATGTGTTTTGATAATTTTAATATATTCTTTGAAAATTTTAGGATTTATTTCTATCCTTGGCCGTAAATGGGTTAAGGGTAGTTTTTTATATTCCGACAGGGTATGAGTCAATGTGATTTTGCATGGGGGTTGGAAATGGTGTTAGAATAGTACCTTGCTATTAATTTCATGCCAAGATTCGAAGTGCGAGTTGGGACAAAATACGAAAATCTCAATATTTAGGCATTTTTATTTGTTAAGGGTAGTTATGAGACAATAGAATTTTGCACAAGGGTTGGAATTGGTGTTAGTGGAGTACCCTAATAATTTTATTGCAAGACTCGAAGTCCAAGTTGGAAAAAAAAATCGAAAATCTAAATATTTATCCATTTTTATTTGTTAAGGGTAGTTTTTCATATTTTAACGGGGTTCGAGTCAATGGGATTTTGCATAGGGGTTGGAAAAGGTGTTTATTGAATTTATTTTGAATTTAAAAAAATGATACGCCAATGGTCGTTCGGGTGTTTCCGTCAAATTGGTTGACAAGTTTTGGCTGCTAACTTCACACCGGTTAGCTATTAGCCCTTGCACTCAATCCCCACTTAACGATGAATTTTGTTCGTCTGACTCAAAAGCAATCGACATAAGATAGAAGCCAACAACCTACACTGTAAGGGGCCATTTCATTTAAATGATGTGCTTGGAGTTACTTCTTCCACCAGAGCCAATATTTACATTGTAGTATAACATACCCGGGTTCGCTTAGTAAGATTGAACGATGAGAATTTTTATTACCTTTTAAACAACAGATATTCTGAAAAACGAAATGAAAAATAAATAGGACCTACGTTGTGGAAACTTACTCAGGGAAGTTGTGATATGTAAAAGAAACGTAAAATTTGTGAAACGTCTACTTTATTATTAAAGTAAATCGTACCGTTCTCGACCTAGAATTCTCGAGGGAAAAGAGAACGGCAGAGAAACCCTCGATCTAACATTCCTCAAAAATCGAAACATACTGTGTTATTTTAATAATAAGTGTGAGTCATTAATTCAATAATTTAAGTCAATAAAAGTTTAAATTAGGTTCCATCCTTGTTCTTGTGCTAAAATTTCAATTACACACACTAGATTCAATCAATACTACCTATATTCAATACTGAAGAGTTTTTTTGTAAGAGCCAGTTTCCCAGCGGATACTGAGGTCCCATACGGGAAGCTACTCAGCTATAGTTGTTTTTGAGCCAATATCTCTAGATTGATTATTTCAATTTGTTAGGATATTCTCTCGTCAGGGTAGGAAAATGTTAGTAAATTCAACAAGGCTCTAATGCACGCTCTGAACACACAAAATCGAAATCTCAGCACAAAAAGACAGCACATAATTTCTTAGGTTTTAATTTACTTCATTATCTATGTTGTTTACAGCATGAAACGATTTTTGTTAAATACATGAACAATGCACATGTTATAAAAAATGTTATAAACAAACAAAAAATACATAAAAATGAACAAAATAATAGGAACTTGCATAAATTGAACAAAAACAAAATAACATTTAATCCACTAACCTGTGAACGCTCCTTACACACACACTAATAACAAATTGGATTGAACAATCAATTTTAATGCAAAATAGAAATGAGAATTGAATAATGAATAATTACAGACACGCGACACGTTTTCTAACGGGACCGGAACTAGTACGTACCAGCTTGTTCTCTAGTCTCTCTAATGCCCTAATCGCATCTTCTCTTTTATCCTCTTCGGTTTCGGTACCTTCATTTTCTGTGGCGCTTCCCGTTTAAACCTAAATTTGATGGCGCAGACATGGTTGCAACATTTACTTTTATTCAGTAACCGATTTTAAAAAGTTAAAATTGGAAGAAATAATATTTTAAATAGGTGGTTTTCCTCAACATAATGAAACACAAAGGCGTAGAAGTGTTGAACATTTTTGTTTACATGGATCTCTAACAAACCAAATTGTAGTAAAGATTAAATCAACATAAAGAGCCATGAAACGATCTACGATTGGCCTTAACTAAGAAATGGGAAAAAAACGAGTAGATCAAAAGGAACAAGAAAGTTACCGTCAAAATAATGGAAATGCAACGTCGTCAAATATGGAGGCTATGGGGCGAGAAGAGGGATAGTGGAAAGCTTTATACGCGTTGGCATGAGGGTATTAAAAGTGTTTTTAGCCTTAGATGTATTCAGATCGCACTGGATAGAAACATGGGGAGGTGCATGCTCAACAATGCGAACAAGTTGGGAAGATGTACTTTACATTGGTTACAATAACTCTACGTTACTGTTGGGCATACTGGTCACATATTCACACTATCTGGAATGATAGGGATTCCCAAGTTACAAAAGTGGTGATGCATAGATATAGCTTTGCTTATATATTACCTTTGTTGGGACACTTGGTTAGATTTCGTTACTTCAAAAACACATTCAAATGATGATAAAAGCCACAAAAATACCTGGAAATCTCCCATCTGAAGAATAAAGTGAATTTCTAAACGGTCATCTGACCCACTTTGATCGTTACTCCTCATTATCATCCAGCACTTAAGAGGCTACCAACATGAACTTAGATGGGAGAAACTCCATGGGCTCTCATCACAGCATTTTTCTACCAGCAGTAGTGAATCAATGGATTTTTCTGCTAGCAAAAGTAGTTAGTGCCAGCTGTGTAAACAGCTTCAAAACCCAGTATGACATAGTGCAAACCTTAAACTTGAAAAATGCCTTTAAATTTTGTACGCCACATTATCATGTGGAATCAATCAAATAGTTTTAAATGGTTTCAAAAACTCTTCTTTTTAGTTTGACATTGGTCCTATCATTATTTTTAGCGACTTAAAATATATTCATAACAATCTCTTTGTATGTCTGTTTAGGTACGCCATTGAACTAAAATTTAATCTTAGATTGTTCTTTCTACATAATGACATAAACCACAATACGATTTTTATCAGATTTTCTGCGTGCAGAATTGTCGAGACTTTGTTCTATTTTCTATTCATTATTTTGAAACGTGATGTTTGTTTTTGTCTTATTTTAATTGTTACCTACTTGAATACAATAATTGCGAATTTTAGCATTGATTTGGCAATGTTGGTGTTTTGCAGAAAAGTTATAATTGGCTTTGAATGTTGAAAGGATTTTCGGGTTATTCTCTAGTACTAGCCAGTTTCTTTAGATTCAAAGAATATTTTTGCATACCGTATAGAAGCGCTTGATTTATCCATTCTCTCGCAAAATGAAAATTTTTTGACTTGTTTTTTTCCAGGAAACCTTCATTAACTGTTTTAATTTCATAACATCATCTCAAACCCGAACAAATTACATTCGCTAAGAGCTCAAACATTAATTTGCTATGAACATCTCTAACATCATAACACTGGGTTCTTCATACATCCAATTATTTTTAGACGAAGTAGGTACGATAATATCTTTTGCCGGAAGATAAAACATAAAAGATAAACTGTACTACAACAAAATGAGAATAAGAAAGCACTTTAATGGACGCCTGACAACATGTCTGCCGGCTAAGTTTCTACACCTACGAACTATTAACACTTTCTGGCTTGAGGGCTTAACCGAAAATTTACTACTAACTTTTAATTGTTAACGTGTAGTGTATAGGAACTGAAACTGCTGAATGGATATTGTAAATTTCAAATAGCAGGTATACGAGTAATAACTCTCACCAGGCGGCTGCCCAATTTGCCTATTCCAAATTTTTATTCTGGGGTTCTCTCGCTTAACTCTTACTTTGATTTTGTTATGGAATTCCCTGGTTAGCCATTGCCAATTCGTATTCTTTACGACCGACGTATGTATTTCGTTGTCTGATTGAAGAGGATTTATAAAAAAAATCTGTTTGTTTCAGGATGATCACCTAAAAATGACTTCAATCCGTAAAGGAGAAGATAGCGGTACGAATTGCCGCGTTAAGCTCAAACAAGTACTGGCAATTATAATACGTAAAGAAGGCTGTCAAGGAGATCCTGGAGATTTTTGGATGTACGAGAATGGATATCTTCTGTTTCAGGTAATTATAGATACCTACCTAGTTAGTTGTTCTTCTAAGGTAAATGTTACGAAACACACCATTTCTCGGTGCGATGAAAAAGGGAAGAGATGTATTCTGTTAATAATAGTTAGTTAAATCAATTCTATAAAGACTAATAACCACAACTACATAAGTAGATCACGACTTTAAAACGTGTTTTTTTTCGTGAGTGTATGTGACAACTATTTTTTTTTCTGAACATTCTTGACATTCTTCCCTTAAGATTTAGGTTGGGCATACAGTACAAATGGTACAAACGATGGAGTTCAAGAATAGGTCACACCTGTTACTCGGATTATAACAACGATAATGAGCAAAAATAGCCGCACGTTTTAGGTTCGCAAAACGTTATTAATCACAAAAGAAGTGTTTAGTCACGATTCAGCATTGACCTCTCATCCGCGGCGTATCTAGCAATTTCAAACATTCGGGCTTTGAAATGGTTGTTTAACCGACAAAACCCGAGAACCAGCTTGAGAAATTTTGTGTTACATCATATGCGACTTAGGAGAGTGGGTTACTTACGGCAAACTTTAGTCCTTTCCGTATATCAATTATCGAAAAACAAGAAAGAAAATTATTGTCACGGATTCAACAACTTTCATTAAACTAAATCAATTTACAAAATTTAGTAAACACTCGAAAGTGACTGGTGTTGTTGACTTCAGCGGGAGATCAAACTGAAAATGAGCCGGAAACGTTGAGGGATGGCAGATGGTGACTCGGAATGGAGACCACTAGCGGCACTAGCCGACAAGCGAAGTAGACCGACCACCTACCTGATGTAGCGATGACCTGAAAAGGATCGAGATAAACTGGACTGCTCAGAATAGGGAGACCTGGAAACGACTTGAGGAGGCCTATGTCCAGCAGTAGGCCTAGGAGGCTTTGCGATGATAATGACTAATCTCTTGTAGTATAACATACCCGGGTTCGTTCAGTAAGATTGAACGATGAGAATTTGTATTATCTTCAAAACAACAAATCTTCTGAAAAATGAAATTAAAAAAAACAAATAGTACCTACGTTGTGGAAACTTACTCAATTTTACTTACTGGGCATGCGCCCGACATAGCAAATATTTGGGAAATTTAAGGGAAGTTGTGATATGTAAAATTAACGAAAAATTTGTGAAACGTCTACTTTATTATTAAAGTAAATCGTACCGTTCTCGACCTAGAATTCTCCAGGGGAAAGAGAACGGCAGAGAAACCCTCGATCGAACATTCCTCAAAAATCGAAACATACTGTGTAATTTTAATAATAATTGTGAGTCAATAATTCAATAATTTAAGTCAATAAAAGTTTAAATTAGGTACCGTCTTTGGTCTTTGTGTTAAAATTTAAATTACACACTCAACATTCAATCAACACTACCTGTAATCAATACTGAAGAGTTTTTGTTAGTTAGCCGGTCTGCCGGAAGGTACTGAGGTCCCATACGGGATGCTACCCAGCTATAGTTGTTTTTGAGCTAATATCTCTAGATTGATTATTTCAATCTGCTAGGATATTCTCTCGTCAGGGTAGGAAAATGTTAGTAAATTCAACAAGGCTCTAATGTACGCTCTGAATACATAAAATCAAAATCTCAGCAAAAAAAGACAGCACTTAATTTCTTAGGTTTTAATTTACTGTTTATCTGTGTTGTTTACAGCATGAAACGATTTTGGTTAAATACATGAACAATGCACATGTTATAAAAAATGTTATAAACAAACCAAAAAAACAAAAAAAATGAAACAAATGATACTTGTATAAATAATTGAACTCTAAAAAACAAAATAACAATTATTCAACTGACCTGTAATCCACCTTGACACACATACTAATAACAAATTGTATTGAACAATCAATTTAATGCAAAATAAAAATGAAAATTGGATAGTGAATAATTACAGACACGCGTCTGAAGCCAGCCCAGGTTCTTCTGCAGTCTAGTTGCGTATTCTCCATCTCCCCTTCGTAGTACCGTTCCCTGTGGCTCGAACGAGGCGCCGGTGTATACATGGTTGCAACATTTAATTTTATTCAGTCAACGTTTTTTTAAAAAGTTAAGGTTTGAAGAAATACTATTTTAAATAGGTGGTTTTCCTCACTCTTATCGCATTTACTCAACTTCACACAATAATTATCTAATTTAAACTGACCCACAAACTACACACAGAAAAATTATGTCTAGAAATATATAAAACTAAATGCTTGTTTAATGAAATAAGAGAATTCCTGAATACTTGGGTCGTGAACTTACACAAACTTGCTAATAGGTAGGTACTGATGCAATTTCGTGAGAGTCTCCCTCTCAAATTATATCTGGTGCATGACAAGATGCACCACCTTCTTTTCTACGTCTATACCTGTCCTCAACTCAGTTCCATAATGATTCTATCCATTATTCTCCATCTAGCAACTACCAGCAGTACTATGCCTTTCAGGTTCCATAGACTCATGTCATTCGTAATAATGTCGAAGGAGGAGGTTGTACTTGCAGTCACGTTTGATATGTTACCTTCTTCCGTAGCGGTAATATTCGGTGCGCCTTCTAAATTGCCCACTGAAGGTTGAGAGTCATTAGAAGGAGATCAAGATCCCAGCCATACTCTATTGTCACGCTTGGAAGGTACTTTTCTTCTTTGTATTTTTTGCTTTGACCACAGCTTCGCTGCTACATGATAGTTTCATTATAAGCAGCATTCTCTGTACATTCATTTTTCTTGGCTGCCAGTTGCAGCGACGGTTCAAGGCTCTACCGGGCCCTAGGCGGAAATGGCCTTGCAGCCCAAAGTAACTAACTTTTTTATCCAATTTGAAAAAAAAAAGCCTTTGAAAATGCTGCTGGAAAGTGTTTTGGAACGTTCTAAATGGCTTATTGAAGTTCTAAAGTATTCTAACTTGGCTTGAAGAGTTCTGAAGCATTCTAGAAGTTTTTCAGTAATTCCTAAATGGTTCTGTCAGATTTTTAAGTATTTTAGAGCCCTATTGAAGCTCTAAAGTGTGGCTAGTGGCACTCCTTGTAAAAAAAGACGTCACCCCATCATCCAGTTGGACAAATAGAAGCGCGAATCAATACATGCTACCATAAATGGGACCAAGACCATAATCACAAGAAATCATCTAGACAGGAAGTAAGGAAGTGCTGGAAAAAAACATTACCAACCTACTAAACAACAATACACCAGAAGTGCTAATAGATTTCAAATGCAAATCACTACTCTGCAACAGCACGCACCAATGCGTCAATGGTTCAAGACTTGCAAATTTCACAGAAAATCAAGAGGTCTTTGTAGTAGGGCCAACAAGTCCTACTTACTCACCTATTATTCGAGGAACACTACAAGTATTAGACATAGCAGTTATGAAAAATATCGCACATGACTTTGAAATTTCTTAAATTGTCTATGATTCCTCAGACCACAACACATCCTGCTTTCATAAGTAGATACGTCGTCACGAAAATCATCACCAACTGGACCGCGTACAAAGCCAGTCTTAAAAGATCCTTCTCATTACCAAAAATGAGAACCAAAAACGACATAGAAGAGGCCACACAAGCATACACAATGGTCATCAAAAAGGCATATGATGCAAACTCAACAACCGAAAACATCATGAAAGGATCCATAGGATCATTGCCAGCTAACCTTCAACAACTAATCAGGGAAAATCGTAGAATGCGCCGGAGATATGCTGCCGCCAAAAACTCGAAGCAAAGCAGAAGCTAAATGAACACTCCCAAGAACTCAAATTGTACTGAAAAATCACAGGGATTCAACTTGGAATAAGCAATTAAGAACTCTGGAAACAACTAACAACTCTATATGGTAAATACAAAACGCTCTTAGAAGACCTAAAACAATCATCCCTCCCATTCGTGGCCTGAATGTCTTTTCCGTCCCAGAAATAGCTGAATCCTTTGCTGACACCCTGGAAGAGTTTTCACCCTGAATCAGATAGAAAATGAAGTAATGTTCAGAGCGGAAGCAACAGCCAGAGATGTTGCCAGGATCAAGCGCTTATCACCTCCAAATTTTGTCTCCCCAGGAGAAATCAAAGGTCTAAAAATTAGGAAGGTACCTGGCAACGACGGAGTTAAGAACAAGATGCTGAAGAAATTTCCAGCAAGAGCTTACACAACTAATTTGACAAACGCAATCCTAAGAAACAACTACTTCCCCAACTCCTGGAAGAAATCAAACATCATTTTACTGAGGAAGTCGCATAAGGAGTCCAAGTTCCAGATAATTACAAACCAATAAGCGTATTCTCGACCATCAGTAAAATTGTAGAAAAAAAAAACATAAGGAAAAGATTGTGCCAAGAAATAGAAGACTTGGGAATCCCCGACTTACAGTTTGGCGCAACATCACAACATTCAGCAGAGCAGCAAATCCTACGTATAACAGAAAAAAATGTTGACGGATTTAAATACAAAGAAACAACTGGCGCTGTGAGGCTGGACATAGAAAAAGTCTTTGATAAGATGTGGCATGCGCGACTTATAGAAAAGATCGGAAACTGGAACATATCCACAAAATGGTGTCAACTTATACACAGTTACCTGGCAAACCGGGAATTTCAGGTCAGAATAGGCTCACAACTCTCAACAATAAGAAGAATTGAGGCAGAGGTACCGCAAGGTTTGGTGCTGGGTCCCCTCCTATACAGTTTATACATAAGCGACCTTCAAACCCACCGTCGCACGAAAACAGCATTATTTGCGGATGACACTGCCAACTTAATGAGACACCGCAACATAGCATTCATCAGCAGAAATCTTCAAACACATATTAGATTATGTCACAAAGCTGGGGCCATTTTTTTCCAAAAAAAGAGAATAGTCCCAGTGCCAAACATCATTAGGAGGTGAAAGAATTCAATGGAGTGAAAAAGTTAAATATCTTGGTCTAGAAATGGACAAAAAACTGACATTGGAATAGCACGTTAACTCTGCTAAAATCAAAGCAAGAGCAGCCATTATC